AAGCAAGTACTGTCCAAACCCAGTCATAGATTTATTCATAGATCCAGTCAAAGATGTATTTTAGTCATTTCTGGTATAAATTGAGATCCCTTCCCTTTATAACTCACTTATCCTCTGCCATTCCCAAGTCAAGGGTCATATATACTGACCCAATAGCATATCTTGAAAACTAGAGCCAATCAACAATTTTAAGCCTCATTTTCGTTCTCAGTGACCCAGAATTAGTAAAGTTTGACTGCATTTTATTTCAGAAGCATTTTGGCTGTAGAACAGTGTTCAAAGCCCCAATAGAACAGACTAAATGTCTTTGGTGCAAAGGGTAAAATTTGATATTGGTAACTTCCGGGCTCCAGGCTCCGGCGCATTTCCTTGTTTGTCCAGTGTCCCGACCGCACGTCGGGAAATAATCGGGACGTCTGGTCACCCTACTCTCTCTCTCTCTCTCTCTCCCTCCCCCAGTACATGCCAGACTGCCCACAAGCAAGCTGGTCTCTTTGTTCTCCCACAATGTCTGTGCTTCCAGGAATGGATTTGGTCCTCGGTTACTCTTTTTACGTTCCAGAGGTCCCCTCCTGTGTGGTTGTCTCTTGTCTGGCTCTAATAGATTCAGCCTACACTGGCTTGGGGTATGTCTAAACATGTTCTTCCCAGCTCTCCTCATCGGGGCCTGCTTGGATGAATAACAATGGTTTCTTCTCAAAGGATAATTGTAGAAAACATCATGTGGATGAGCATCTGTATAAAATGCCAGATTTTGAGATAGTTAGACCTGCTGGTTATATACCCTCTTTCCAGGGAGCAAACCAATCTTGTAATGGGGGGAGGGGAATAGATCCATTTCTGCACCAAGGGTTGCTCTCACACCTGGCTTCTCTATCAGGCCCTTCAAACAGAATCAATTGCCAAATGAGCTCGTGAGAAATAGTTCAAAAAGCTTAAAAGCATTTATTGGATGTTCAATCAGCTTTGGGGGGCAAAGAGAACACTGAGGCAAACTAACAATCTCCTTGGATTACCTCATAATGGTGCACTCATATTGGTTCCTGGAATTGTTGTGATTTTATTTCTTGTGTTGTTGGACGCATTTGGAATGATCCTGTATGGTCATTTCAGTCTTTGCAGAGAGTAGCTGCTCAAAAAAGGACAGGTTGTTATAAAAATAAAAAACAATTCCTGTAAAAAAATAACTTGAAAAAGCAGTCCAAATTCATGGATAACCTGCAGACCTCTCTCGTAGCCCAATTCATAGAGCTTCTTTAGTTAATGTTTCTTCTATCAAAAACATTGCACACTATATTTTCATTACTAGGTTTGCATGGGGAACAATTGCAGTTTTACACGAGTTATCAGTTTGGTATATATTAAATATCTATTCCCAAATATTTTATATGCAATATGGCCCACATTTTCAAACTTGGTTCCCAAAGTTTGGTGAACAAATTCATATGAAGGCCCCTAAATAAAACTAGTCTGATTTTCAGAGGTGCTGAACGCTTGCAGCTCCCTTTGATTTTAAAAGACTAAATATGGATTTAGGCACTGAAGTTTAGACACCCATGCTTGAAAACTCTGATCTTTGAAAATGTTTTGTATTTTATCAGGAAACTCATCAGATTGTACATGAAATTACAATGTATGTGTGGGCTATCTTTTCAAAAGTGACCTCTAACTCCATCTTGAACGCCAGTTGAGACACTGAGAGCCTAATTCTAAACACATTTCAGTGGGAGTTGTCAGTGTTCAGAACTTCAGTCAGGACCTGTATGTCTGAAGTTATGCACCCAAAATTAGAAGTAATTATTGACAATTTGGGCCATAGTATCTGTAATTCAACAGAACTCAACTTGCTGCTTCTTGACCACTATGGCACTGTTGCAGTCAATGCACTTACCAGACAGTTAGTGCTGACAAACTGGGAAACCAGTTGGGCATCTAAGGCCTAATCTAAAGCCTACTGAAATCATTAGAAAGATGTACCTTTGCAATATTTTTTTTAAAATATCTGCAGAAATAGTTATTTAGGGTTTAAATTAGATGTAAAGAGGCAGATAATGATCTATAGAAAGCCTTGATTCTGAGAACAGACTGCTCCTAAACTTCTATCATAAACAGTTAATCATGTCAGACTTATTATACTCAACAGGACATACTGGCTGCAAAATTGAGGGTGATTTTGAGGGAATTATTGTAAATAATAGGATTGAAAAAAACGGAATAGAATGGAGCAGCTGTGGAAGGAGGGCAAGAGTTTGACAGAGATGAGTGGCTGAACAGGAGATGGTAGAGGATTATCAGTTTTCTATATTAAATATAATAATTATAATTAATATAAAATACTCATGTATATTAGAATATTATGTATAAACAGTATCTATTGACATAACATATATACTCATACTACTTACTGTTCTCCTGAAAAAACATTTGGGAAGTGAACAATGTGATCTGCAAATATTTTGTGGAAAGTTGTAATGGAATGAATGAGTAGACTTAATTACATTTTAAAGAAAATATATATTTTTAAAATTTCTCCTTCACTTACATGTTGGCTTGAGGCACAAGATTCTGTTTTTTCTGTAGCAGTAGTAAAGAGAGATCAGTTGAAAAGTTTTATACTTAATTTTCTTTATTACACACATTTTATTCTTCCATTTTGATTTAACCCAGCTGATACTGAGCAAGTCAAATCTTACTTTTAATAACAAAAAGATCATTAAAAAATTACAGCCTTGATCATACCTTGCTTTCAATAATTTTCCAAATTTTTCTTTTTTCTAAACTGTAACATAGCTTTTCTTTGTTCATTTCCAGGCTATCAAGAGACATAACTTGACTAAAAGGTGGCTTCTGAAGATTATTGATGAAAGAGTAAGTAATTTTTTAATCTGTTGTATGCATTTTAATTTTTCCTCTCATTTTTGACTTTTTGAATCATGTGTACCTAACCAAAACTTAGAGCTCATCTTTTCTGTTTCTGTATGGTTGTATTCTCTTCTTTGAACAGGAGTGTCCTATATACTGGCCCTTGGTAGTTTTTAAAAATTTCTCCCTTGCTTTAAAACTCCACTCCTTGAGACTCCATTTCATACTCTGTTATCTTTGTGGCCATGGTGGAGAGGGTAGAACTTCAATTTTTTTGCTTTAAAAACTAGTTTTTATGAAAGCTTGCAGATTGTCCGCTCTGAAAACTAATGCCCTCACTTTCGCAATATCAGTGCAAGCTTCCGAATGCCATCCTGCAAATTTATCTCACTGCTGACTGGAGGGTCTAGGGGTCTGTGGGCTTATGTGGTGCTTAGACCTTGGGCTGGCCCTCTGCACAGAGGTGAGTTTCCCTTCAAGAGATCAGAGACAGTTAGCTCTCACACACAGCTGGCTTCCAGTCAATTCTCATTTCTAAAAGATGCAGTGCTCTGCAATTTATAAGAACTCAAAGTGAAAAACTTTCTCAGACTGCCTTTTCATGCCATCCTATTCCTATCCACTTACTACATCATAGTCTCCTGACAGCATTCTGTGACCTTGTCTGTTTGGCTTTTAGAAATTACTTTAAAATATTTCTATATTGCCTCATATCAAGATGAGTTATGAGCTTAAAATCTCAAACAAATGTCATTTATGATTACATGCACTTTTATATTGCCTTCTCTACAAGATCTATATATATATAAGGTACTTATATGGCCCTGATTACCTTAGTTGTCTGAACGCTTCACAGTCTCTAATGTATTTATCCTCGCAACACCCCTATGAGGTAGGGAAATGCTAATATCCCCATTGTACAGATGGGGAACCGAGGCACAGAGAAGTTAAGGGACTTACTGAAGGTCACACGGGAAGCCTGTGGTGAAGCAGGCTATTGAATCTGGGTCTCCAGTCTCCTGGATCATAAATAAATTAATTATAAATTAATGGAGATATCCTATCGCCTAGAACTGGAAGGGACCTTGAAAGGTCATCGAGTCCAGCCCCCTGCCTTCACTAGCAGGACCAAGTACTGATTTTGCCCCAGATCCCTAAGTGGCCCCCTCAAGGATTGAACTCATAACCCTGGGTTTAGCAGGCCAATGCTCAAACCACTGAGCTATCCCTTCCCCCATCATACTTCCTATCAGAACACTTTATAAATATTTATTACTTTAACATCATCACATTGGTGTGAGGTAGATAAGTATTAATACACACATTCTGCACTGAAACTAAGGGACTTGGAAGTCCAGTGACTCGCCCAAGCACACACAAGCCGTCTATGGCATAGACCATCCAGGTCTCTTGACTCTCAGGCCTGTATTTTTTATCCACAAGACCAGCCTTCCTGTCATAGTGAGTGAATGTTCTATTTCTGACCGCATTTGCATGAGACAGCCAAGTACACTCAGTAGTTTAAAAGTGCTTTTAAAAAGCACACACTAGAGGAACATATTCTGATATCTGTAATTTTCTTTCACTGAGATATAAGACTCATTCACTGACAATGGAATAGAATTGGCAGTTAATAGTGTAAACATACTGTAAAGTACCTTCATCAGAACTAAGGGTGTGAGTCTGCAGTAGCATGGCATGAAGACTCCAAGGCCAGGTCTGCACTACAAAGTTTGGTTGGCATAGCTGTGTTGGTCAGATGTGAAAAAACCACACCTCCTAGCTGACATAATTATGCCAGCAAAAATCCCAGTATAGATGCACATATGCTGACAGTGTGCTTCCATCAGCATAGTTAATATTCAGTGTTGTTGTAGTCATGTCAGTCTCAGGATATTAGAGCTCGTCTCTTTCAGCAACAGAAATTGGTCCAGTAAAAGATATTGTCTCACCCACCTTGTCTCTCTAGCATAGCTAATGTCATTTGGGAGGGGTGGTAGTGTTCTTGCCAGCAAAAAACTCCTGTTGGTATACAGCATCTATGGCGGGGACTCTGTCAGTATAGCTATACTGGCAAAGCACTTGTAGTGTAAACAAGCACCAATTGATTTAATGTTAATGCAATATTGCAAGAGAGAATTTAAATCCATAACAGTTGTGGTTCCTTCAGCAACCTTAGCTGGTTGCCCTTGCACATACATAATATTTTGTATTGTTGGAGATGTTTTAAAATGTATTCCTTAATGTGTATATGGTTTTATTCATACACACACACACACACGTGATTCCTCCCCATCCCTTAATGTGAGTTACTTTTGTCCACTGTACCCTAATGAAGGATTATGTAGATCTGCTTATAATGATCAGTTTGCACACAAAAAAACATATTCATGTTGGAATACAGACTCATACATATTCATGTTCTGTGCTCAAACTACAGGAGAAAAATTTGGATGACAGAGCATATCATAACATCCAGGAACTTGAAACATATGCTGACAACACTCATAGCGCTCTCTTGTATCTCACCTTGGAAATGCTGGGTATGTGCTTTTTCTTTATTTAGGGTTTTATGGAGAATTTATCAGTACTGCTACTATATTTACTAATGGGGAGGATTTTCAAAAGTGCTGATGGTCGAGCTAATTCTGCTCCCATTAAAGCCCGCAGTAAAGCTTCCATTGACTTTAATGGGAGAAGAATAGGTCAACGCTCAGCACTTCTGAAAATCCAACTTTAAATCTATAAAATTAAGGGCTGTCGATTAATCGCAGTTAACTCACATGATTAACTCAAAAAAATTAATTGTGATTAAAAAAATTAATTGCGATTAATCGCAGTTTTAATTGTACTGTTAAACAATAGAATACCAATTGAAATTTATTAAATATGTTGGATGTTTTTCTACATTTTCATATATATTGTATTCTGTGTTGTAATTGAAATCAAAGTGTACATTATTTTTATTACAAATATTTGCACTGTAAAAATTATAAACAAAAATAGTATTTTTTAATTCACCTCATACAAGTACTGTAGTGCAATATCTTTTTTGTGAAAATGCAATTTATAAATGTAAATTTTTTTTGTTACAAAACTGCACTCAGAAACAAAACAATGTAAAACTTCAGAGCTTAGAAGTCCACTCAGTCCTACTTCTTGTTCACCCAATCGCTAAGACAAACAAGTTTGTTTACATTTGCAGGAAATAATGCTGCCCTCTTATTTACAAAGTCACCAGAAAGTGAGAACAGGCATTTGCATGGCACTTTTGTAGCTGGTATTGCAAGGTATTTATGTGCCAGATATGCTAAATATTCGTATGCTCCTTCATGCCTCGGCCACCATTCCAGAGATATGGATGCTGCAGTAGCTGCCAGGTCACCTGCATTCTGAGTAACTGGAAGATCAGGGATCTCCTCACCACTCACATCCTCACTGGGGCCGGAAGGCTCACCGTGAACATTTGTGTCTATGTATCTCAGGAGAGCTCCTTCCTGCTTAGATAGAAAAGCTTCCTTTGCTTTTTGTTTTTTTCTGAATGCTGCCCCAGAGGGGTGTTTTCTTCTTTCACTCATGACTGCTGTTCTGTGCCAGCTACAGTGGCTCTCAACACTCAGTTGAAGGGGACAAATAAGCAGGCTGGTAGCAGGGCCTGAGTGAGGGTAGATATCAGCATCTTAAGGGCCTAACTGGCTTCTACTACTTCAGTTGACTGCCTGCTCTCCTGAAGAGGGTTCAGGGAAGCAGCAGGAAACAGGAACCTACCTGAGAAACTGGTGTTAATCAGTCCAGGCTCCTGGGGGTGCTAGAGAGATACATAAGAGGCTCCTCCTCCTCTCTCTCCCTGCAGCTCCTGCTGCTTTCTGTTATTCCCTTTCACCTTTTCTCTTGTCTGCCTGTATGTCTCTTGTGCCCTCCTTCCTCCAGCACAGCACTCCACCATCTCTCTGCATCTAGAGCAGAGAGAATACGTATGCACCAGCAGCAGACACAATTTTCTACACTCTGGGTCCTAGTGGCGCCCCCCCACAGTCTGGCACCTGAGGCGGCCGCCTCAGTTTGCCTCATGGTAAGGCCAGCCCTGAACATATTTGAACCCTGTTATCAGGACCCAGCTCCCAGTCTTCTTTTCTCAAGACTAAACATACCCAGTTTTTTTTAACCTTTCCTCAGAGGTCAGGTTTTCTAAACCTTGTATCGTTTTTGTTGCTCTCCTCTGGACTCTCTCCAGCTGTGGCCTCATCAGTGCTGAGTAGAGCAGAACAATTATTCCTGTATCTCAGGGGTTCTCAAATTTCATTGCACTCCGACCCTCTTCTGACAACAAAAATTATTACATGACCCCGGGGAGAGAGGGGGAATCGAACCCTTAGCTTGCTGGAGCATCACTGCCCCAGGCATGAGGGCCAAAGCCTAAGTCCCACCAACCTGGGTGTAGGGACCTAAACCCAAACACAAGAGCTTCAGTCCCAGGCAGGGGGCCTGTAACCTGAGCCCCACCCAGGGCTGTATCTTATAACACTCCTGTTAATATACCCTTGAATGGTATTTGACATTTTTGTAACTGCATTGCATTGATAGCTCATATTCAATTTGTGATTAACTGTAACTCCCAGATCCTTTTCAGCAGTACTACTGCCTAGCCAGTTATTCCCAATTTTTTAGATGTGCATTTGATTTTTTTCCTTCCTAAGTGTAGTACTTTGCACTTGTCTGTATTGATTGTCTTGTTGATTTCAGACCAATTCTCCAATTTATCAAGGTTACTTTGAATTCTAATCCTGTCCTCCAAAGTGTTTGCAATCTCCCATCTTAGTGTCATCTGCATATGTGATAAGCATGCTCTCCACACCATTATCCAAGTCATTAATGAAAATATTGAATAGTACTGGACCCAGGACAGACTCCTGCAGGATTCCCTGGATACACCCTCCCAATTTGACAGCAAATTATTTATAACTACTCTTAGAACAGTTTTTCAACCAATTGTGCACCCACCTTATAGTAATTTCATCTAGACCACATTTCTCTAGTTTCTTACAAGAATGTCACATGGTACCATGTCAATAGCCTTATTAAAATCAAGATATATCATGTCTACTGGTCCCCCCACCTCCCCATATCCGTTAGGCCAGTAACCCTGTCAAAGAAGGACATTGATTTGGCATACTTTGTTCTGAAAAATCCATGTTGACTATTATCCTCTAGGTGCTTACAAATTGATTGTTTAATAATTTGTTCCAGTATCTTTCCAGGTATTCAAGTGAGGCTGACTGGCCTATAATTCCCCAGGTCCTCTTTGTTCCTATTTTTAAAGATATGGTATTATGTTTGCTCTTTTCCATCACTCTGGGACCTTATCTGTCCTCCATGAGTTCCTAAAAATAATTGCTAATGGTTCTGAGATTGTTTCAGCTAGTTCCTTCATTACGCTAGGGTGAATTTTATCAGGCCCTGCCAGCTTGACTACATCTAACTTATCTTTAACCCATTCTTTCCCTGTGCTAGCTTGTGTTCCAACCCCCTTGTTGTTAGTGTTAATTGTGTTAAGCGTCTGGTCACAATTAACTTTTTTAGTGAAGACTGAAACCAAATAGGTATTAAACACCTTAGCCTGCTTGATGTCATCCATTATTAGTTCTCCTTCCCGCTAGGTAGAGGACCTTCATTTTCCTCAGTCTTTCTTTTTCCTAATGTATTTATAGAAACTCTTTTTATTGCCTTTTATGTTCCTTGGTAGGTGTAACTCATTTTGTGCCTTAGCTTTTCTGATTTTGTGCCTATGTTCTTGTGGTATTTTTTTGTACTCATCCTTAGCAAGCTGTCCACATTTGTAGGATTCCTCTTTGATTTTCAGTTAATTAAAGAACTATATTGGCTTCTTACTATTTTTTCATCTTTCCTTCATGCCTGGATAGTTTGCTAATGTGCCTTTAATATTGTCTGTTTGAGAAATTGCTAACTGTCCTGAACTGCTTTTTTTCTTAGATTTTCTTCCCAGAGGACCTTACCTACTAGTCTCCGAGTTTGTTAAAATCTGCAATTTTGAAGTCTGTTGTTGTTGTTCTGCTGCTCTCACTCCTTCCGTTCCTCAGAATCATGAATGCTATCATTTCATGCTTTCTTTCATTCAAACACCTTTCCACCTGCAGATTTGCAACCAATTCCTCCTGTTGGTCAGAATCAAAACTAAAATGGGTGCCCCTCTGGTTACTTCTTCCACTTCCTGAAATAAGAAGGTGCCCCCAACACATTCCAAGAATTTACTGAATGTTTTATGTTTTGCCATGTTGATTTTCTAACAGAAATCTGGGTAGTTCCCCATTTTGTGTTTTGGATATTTCTGTTATTTGTTCTAGAGATGCCTCATCCTTCATCTCCCGATTTGGAGGTCTATCTTGACATCGCTTCCCTTTTCCCCCTCCATTTCAATTTCAGAATGTCAAAATGTTTTGTTTTGATTTCAACATTTTCTACTAAAACAATTCAGTATTTCTGAATCAAATTTTTTTAGAAATGTCTGTTCTGCAAAAAAAAAAAATCAAAATTTCAAATTTTTGTCTAGATTTGGGACAAATCAAAAGTTGAAATGTTAGAATTTCCTTTGGGACCGAAATTCTGAATTTCACTTGGCTTTGCTTAGTATTTATTGCTGAAATTTGATTCCTGGTTTCTTGTTCACTGGGGTAAGGGGTTGCACTGATGTAACTAGATTGATGTACTAGGATAAACTGTACCAGTGCAAGTCAGTTTTCACACTGGTGTAGTGTATCTGTAATAGGAGTTTGAACTGGTTTAGCTACATTGATATAGCTACACGAGTGCAAAAAATGCATTGTAGACTAGCCCTAAGAAATGTCTCACTCCAGAATGTAGTAATCAGTCAGCTAGTTTACTAACTTTCACCTCTGAGATTAGGTCTCAAGGACAATCTGTGAACATATGCTGTTTGAGGCAAATATATTCTTAACAGCTGTAATACAAAAGTTGTGTAGTTTCTGCTCATGAGACTTGTTAATATGCTACACTCAGACTATTCTATGGTTGTTATGTGGTTTTAACTTTTATTTCTGAAAATACAGGTGTGCGGGATATCCATGCAGACCATGCAGCCAGTCACATTGGGAAAGCACAAGGCATTGTCACCTGTTTAAGAGCAACTCCGTATCATAGTAAAAGACGAAAGGTCTTTCTTCCTATGGACATTTGTATGTTGGTAAGAAAGTATAGACTGGGAACAAACAATATAGTATCTCTAACTACATCTCTCAGCTTTAGATAGATAGTATTTTCTGTTAGACCAGAAAGTAAATGTCGAAGAGCCTAGTTGCTATTAGTAGAAGGTTCACTTCCTGTGGCTTGCAGTACCCCCAGCATGCTCTTTCAGTGATAGGGCTTTTCTTGGTCTTGTTGCTTTGCTTCTTTTGGGAGGTATGATTAGAGTGATTTTTTTTATTTATTTTAGTACTAGCTCACTGAAATTTTTTAGTACTAAAATGCAATTCAGTAGCATTTTAGGATTTTTCTTCATGTGCAGAAAGACCCCTGGAATGGGAATCAATTCCTTCCTCCCAGCGCTAAATTTTCTAGTGTTGTTCCCTTTGTTTCAGAATGAGCTCCCTAGCCTCTCTTTGCTGTGCTGTGGTCATACTCTTGCTTTTTCTGTGCAACTCAATAGTAACTACAAGTATTTGCTCACTCATTGCTATAGCACGTGGGGTCTAGTTGTACAATTTGAGAGAAAACACCTAACTGGCACTGGAATTCAGCAGCCCTTACACTAACAGGTAATTGTCAGTGACACAAGGATTAAAACACAAGTTTCCCATTAATGTTCAAATGAGTCTGTGGCTAAATCTATAGGCATAGGCATTGAATATTTATTTAATAATTTATCTGTTTGCATTTTCAAATTATGACACCATTCTCATTGCTCTTATATAAATCCATCTAATTGTGGCAGTGCTTAAGGCACATGCACTAGTCGTCTTTGAATATCATTTAAATGTGAATTAATATCCTTGATTTGCAAGTTTTGGTTGTTTTGTGTAGAATAATGAAGAGCTCCAAATTTGATAACCTTTGGCTTTGTTTTCCTGCTAGGTCAGTATTATGTGAATGGCACAGAAGCATAAAATGGCTGATACGTCCATCCCAAACAGTAACTCATGATGGGGGCTGATTAGGGCCTTCCAACTTTCATATCTTTGTTTCAATATAACTTAATATCATATACCCAGGTACACATACACACACCCACACAGAATTGTGCTTGTCCCTGCCATCACAGCCACGCATGTGACTATGAAACTTTTCAGTCATTGGTGGGTGTAGGAGATGGATGCAAAGGTAATCTCCCTCTTACCCAGACTGAGAGTGTTGCAGAGACAAGAGGTATCTTGGCAGCTAGTCAGAGTCACCAGATTGCTCTTGAATCCATATCCTCTGTGTGGCTTTGTCTTCACTATAAAATTTTACCATATTCAATCAGCCTTGTGAATAAGTAAGTTAGTTGACATGATGCTGAACAAAACTTGTCTTAGTCTGCATTAACCACAGTGTCATTGTCACCATTGTGTCACCTAATTCAATTCTCCATAAGTGTTCAAACATGGTACCATTTGTAGTATAGACAGGAGCGCCGCCAGCTTTTCTGCCACCCTAGGCGGCGGAAGGTCCCGCCCCGAAATGCCGCCCCCCATAGAGGCGGCGGAAGGTCCTGCCGCCGAAATACCGCCGCGGTCGCCGCCCCCCAAATTGTAGCACCGGCCCTGAGTATAGACCTGCACTATGACAATACCTTTCTTCATGGACCAGCTGTTTTTCCGGTGAAGCCGTAACTTTTTCCTTTACCCTGCGCTTAGCCTCAGTTGATTGTTTTTGTTTTGTTTTTTTTTAACTTGACACGCAAGAAGTTGATTTCAGATTACCAGAATTTAAATTCTAGCTCAGTTATCCCTAGTTACTACAAAGTATTCAGAGAGTCAGTTTATGCAAAGACTGAGTTAGTTACTCTTTCCTGTCTTTTCCTTCACTGAGCTTTGCTTCCTACTGACTACTTTAAAAATATGCATAAGCGTTTTTCAGATTTTTGATTGTAGTCTGGCTGCCAGGCAGGCTTCTGGCTTTCCTACTCTCTTGTTAAGCAGAAATGGGTGTTTTGTTTTTGCTCTTCACTCTCAGCATGGAGTTTCGCAAGAAGATTTCATAAGAGCCAATCAAGAGAAAAATGTGAGAGATGTAATTTACAACATTGCCAGCCAGGCGCACGTTCATCTAGAACATGTGAGCTTCCTCTTTTCTTGTTGATAGCATATAATCAATTTTCATGTTAAGAAGTGTTGTCAAAATGTGGTGGTGTCTTGTTGGGGACCTTATTTATTGCATCAAATATTTTAAAAACACTTTTACCTTCATGTAGAAGATCAATCTCCCAGCCTATTCAGTCCTGGGTGCCTATGCTGAAAGTGATCATAAAAGTGCTGATTGCAATTACATTGAGGAGTACAGCCTTGTAGTGTTAAACTGATTGGTCCTTTGAGTTGGAGAATAAACCCACCAAAAAACTTATTCTAAAACAATAAAATAATTTTTGAATGGAGGTTCTCTTTATGGTAACACACTTGCATGAATTTATCTATATAGAGATAGCTGTATGTGTGTATAACTACTGACTGAAAGCTTTTGCACATACAGTAGAACCTCAGAGTTATGAAGACCTCAGGAATGGAGGTTGTTCATAACTCTGAACAAAACATTTTGGCTGTTCTTTCAAAAATTTACAACTGAATATTAACTTAATACCGCTTTGAAACTTTAGTGTGCAAAATAAAAATGCTGCTTTTAACCAGCTTAATTTAAATGAAACAAGCACAGAAAGAGTTTCCTTATCTTGTCAAATCTTTGTTTTAAACATTCTGGTTTTTTAGTGGTTTATGTGTAACCCACTGTTACTGTATTTGCATTTTTATTTTTTTGGTCTCTGCTACTGCCTGATTGTGTACTTCCAGTTCCAAATGAGGTGTGTGGTTGACTGGTCAGTTTGTAACTCTGGTGTTCATAACTCTGAGGTTCTATTGTATGTCATTATGAGATGTAGGTTATGCAAGGGTGTGCCTGCACAGATCAGATTCCAGGATCACAGCCATAGACTGTGTGCATGAGTTACTTTGTGTATTTTGGACACAGGTGCAATAATTATTAGGCATTCAGATTTTGCCTTTAAGTGCCAAACTTTTTTTTCCCTGGAAACTACCTACTATATGCATAGTGAGCTACACCAGCAATGTTTCTCTGGTTTTGTTTTTGCCCCACAGCCAGTCTAATTGGGATCACTGTTTCAAACTTCACTATTTGTGCAACAGCTTTATCACAGGTTGTTATTCACATGGATCAATTAGTGGATCTGAACTTAAGAAGCCACACTGAGACCTACTCTTTACCTCTCTGTTGCTATAAATATTGAAAATAAAACATACGGGCTATGCTTATAAAAAGCACTTTGGTACATACTACATAAGCACTTGTACATTTCCCCATTTCTCCAGAAAATATACATAGTACAAGAAGTGCTTTTAACCAGATGTTACAACAATTTGTGTGTGTGTGTGTATACATTTAATTAGTTAATTGCATTAAAAAACTACATTAAAAGAACATTAAGGTGCAAAGACAAGCTCTCAAAAGTTAAATGCCAGAATTAAGGTTGCCTGTGCAACATTAGTTCAGCCCCCTTGTGCTTATGCATTGTGATATTCTTTAATTACATAATTATACATAATGACAACCCCCAGCATCCCTGCCTCATTTAATGAATGGGTCTTCAATATTTCTTTTTATCCTTCACAGTTGGCGTGTGACACCAGGCCTTATTTAGCACCATCCAAACGCTGCACTAATTACAAAATTATTAATTCCCTCATGGGAATTTTTATGGTGCTCTCACTATAGTATCTGAATACATCACAACATCTTTGTGAGATGATGATGATGATTGATGATTATTATTATTACAGCTGGGCAACAGAGGCACATAAAGATTAAGGTCAAAATTGTCAAGTGTCCACTTAAATTTGTCTCCCTCCAATGTAAACTCTGAGAAAGTACTGCGGTCGATGCAGTGCGAATGTAGACGCTGTGTTACCTATGTTGACCCTAACAGTCCTTCAGCAGCTGTTCTACAATGCCCAACACTGACTGCTCTGGTCACAGTGGAGAAGTCCACTGCCTGGGTGTCAGAGACTGGAAGTTCCTCCACTTAAAACCCTGCGAATTTTTTAAATGCCTTTTCGTGATTGTCCATATTGGCGAGCACACCTAGCAGCTCTCCATTATTGTGTGCAGCTGCCCAGCTGACCATGCAGGCTACGCATTCCAGACGCACTCCAGCCTGGAATGGACAGGAGCTATTGGGTCTCCTGGGCCTGTGGGGAGAAGAGGCTGTGCAACTATGGCTATGGACAGGTTTCAGAGTAGCAGCCGTGTTAATCTGTATCCGCAAAAAGAACAGGAGTACTTGTGGCACCTTAGAGACTAACAAATTTATTAGAGCATAAGCTCCCGTAGACCACAGCCCACTTCTTCGGATG